GCGGCACCACCTCTCCCGCCACATGACCTCGCACAACTAGCGGCGGGGCGGCAGGGGGGAAGGGGGTGAGGGGACGGGGGGAAAAATTGGAGAGCAATGGAGAAAAGGAAGAGAACGGAGAGAATTTGAGAAGGGGAAAATGGAGAAAACGGAGAGAAAAAAAAAAGAGAGAAAAATTGAGAAAATGGTGAAAATGGAGAAAAGGAAAAGATTGAGAAAATTGGGGAAAAAACGGAGGAAAACGGAGAGAAAAGAAATTTGGGAGCATTTGAAAACACGGACCAAAAAAAATAAAAAATGAATAAAAAAGAGAGAGAGAGAGAGATGGACAAGAGTGAGAAAATGGACCAAAGGGATAGAGTTGAGAGAAGTGAGAAAACGGAGGAAAATGGGGAAAACGGGGAGGAACTGAGAAAATAGAGAAAAACAGAGAAAATGAAAAGAATGGAAAAAAATGGAGAAACACGGATAAAAGATCGGAAAAAAATGCAGAAAATTAATAAAATGGAAAAATGGAGAAAAATGGGAGAAAAGTGGAGAATATAAAGAAAAAGAAAATAACGAAGAAAAATGGACGTAAGTGACGAAGAAAGAAAAAATGAGAAAAAGACACCGAGGAAATGGAGGAAAGGAGAGAATTTGAGGAAATTGAGAAAAACAGAAAAAAGAAAAAAATGGAGAAAATGGAGAAAAAAGAAAAGAGAAAAATGGACTCAAAAGGCAAAAAGAGGACGAAGATTATAAAGAGAGAAAAAAGAAAAACGGCAAAAGAAGCGAAGAACGGAAAAGAGAAAAGGCGGAAAAAAAAAGGGAAAAAAAAAAAACGGGAAAAAGAAAAAAAAAAAAAGGAAAGCAAATGACTTAAAGTACATTTTTTGAAATGTCATATATTGCAACATATTGATGCATTTGTCATACGTTTCTACTTAAATTATGAAGCACTTATGGTTTAGATGTAAGAATAATTCTATGTCAGGGTAAAGGTTTTATTTTAGATACGGAGCTCCGGGCGGGGCTGCGGCGGCGGCGGGCGGCGGACGGCGGTCGGGACCCCCACAACCCTCCCGGCTCCGGGGCTCCGAGCTCCGCGCTGGGGGCTCCGCGCTCCGTCCCCGCCCGCCCCGTCCCCGCCGCCCGCCCGCGTGTGACATGTGCCCGTGAATGATGGAGTCTCGGTAGTTTCGTGTTTCTTTTCATGCCCCCGCCCGACCCGGCCCGCCCAACCCCCCGAAAAGATTTATTAAACTTTATAGTCTATCTGGGTGCGCTGGGTGCTTTGACAATAAATGATTTATTTTCTGCAACGCAGCCGCAGTTACTCCGTGGGGCCGCGGGGACGGCCCCTCCGCGCCCCCCGCCTCGCTCCGCGCACCTCCGCACCTCCGTCCCTTTCCCTTTTCTCCATTCCTCCCTTTCCTCTTTTGCCCTCCCTTCCCTCCTTCTTTTCTTCCTCCTTCTTTCTTTCTCTTTTATTTTCCTTTCCCTTTTCGGTCTTTTCTACTCTGTTCCCGCACTCCTTTTTCGCTTCCCTTTTCCCTTTCCCTTTTCCATCTTTCCCGTTCTCCTTTTTCCCCGATCTCCTTTTTCCTTCTTCCCGTTTTCCACTTTCTCCTTTTTCCTTTCCCTTTCTCCTTTTCCTTTTCCCTTTCTGTTCCCCCCTTTCCCATTTTCCCATTGTATTTTCCCCCTTCCCTTTCCCCCGACTTTTCTCTTTCAATTTCTCCCCTTTTTTCCCCCACTTTTCCCATTCCCTTTTCCCATTCAATTTTATTTCTTTTTCGCTTTTCTCATTGCCTTTTTCTATTCAATTTTCCTTCCCCCCACCCCCCCCCCCTCCACTCCGCTTTTCTTATTCCATTTTCCCTCTCAATTTTCCTTTTCTTTCACTTTTCCCACTCCTTTTTCCCACCCCATTATCCTTTTTTTTTTTTCGTTTTCCCCATTTCCTTTTCCCATTCATTTTTTTTCCTTTTCCTTCCCACCTCCTTTCCCATTTTTTTTCTCCCATTTCCTTTTCCCATTCCTTTTCCCCCTTTACCTATTCCCCTTTTACCTATCCCCCTTTACCTATTCCCCTTTTACCTCTTCCATTTCTTTTCCCATTCCCTTCTTCCATTCCTTTTCCCATTCCCTTCTTCCATTTTCTTCTCCCATTCCCTTTCCCCTTTACCTATTCCATTTGTTTATTTGTTCGTTTTTCCATACCCCTTTCCTTTTTCAGTTTTCCCTTCTCCCATTCCCCTTCCCCTCACTATACCCCATCCCCGACACAGTGCCGCTCCCCGACCGATGCCACCTGAAGCCCCGCAGCGCTCCCGGTCCCACGCACAGTTCGAGTGGCGCTGGGGCTCAGCCCCCGGGTGCGGCCTTGCCTGCGTCTTTGGGGGAAGAGAGGAGGCTGAGACCCACACAGTGCCCCTATCACCAGCCCCGAGAAGCACTCGTCCGTGGGGGCGAGTTCTGTAAGGGGGGGCATGAATGAGATGTGAACGCTGCCGTAGAGCTCCCACGATCCTGAGGACAATATTGGGCACTGTGCACCCGGCGTGGGGAGCACCGTTTGCACCCCGTGTTCTGCAGCACAGTGCTTTTGAGGCTCTGAGTACTCCTTTATTTATTTATTTCCCCCACTTTTCTCTTTTATTTTTCTTCCCCAGACTGCATTTTCTTTCTCCTTCTTTCTTTCTTCGTCTTCTTTTTTCTTTGTTTCTTCCCTTTTCTTCCCCCCCCCACCCTTTTTCTTTTTCCCCCTCCACACAGTCCACTCCATATTCCCATCACCTCCATCCTCCACTCCCCCTGCACAAAGTTGCACTAACCCCACTCCCTCTCATCCCCCAGCGCAGCACTTCACAATGAAAACCTCCTCTCAAAGAGCTGTCCCCCAAACTTCCCCCCCCACCATACCTACACGCACACACCTGCACTTCATTACACTTTAATCACCACTTCATTGCATCCCAATGAGAGCAACTCCACCCAAACCGAGGGCGCTCCTATTGCTCGGGGGGGAGGGATGTGTTTAGGGCATAATCTGGGGGAAATTTAAGGGATTTTGAGGGATGGTGGAGGGATATTTTGGGGGGAGAATGGGGGGGGGGGGGGGGAGGTTGATGCTTTGGGCTCTGTTGGAGCCCGTGCACGGGTGCGCAGTGCCACCTAGCGGGGCGACGGTGGCTCAGCCCTGGGCATCCCCTGGAGCTCAGGTGGAGCTGCTCCTAGAGAGATTATAGGGGAGTAGACGGCTTTACTGGTGACGTGCAGTGCTCTCCACTTTATACGCTGTGTTTTGTTCTTGTGTCGTTTCCCCCCCTCCTCCCCCCGTCTTTTCTAGTTTCTCTGTTTTGTGGCCGAAATCACAGAGCCTCACTTGCAGAGGAGATGATCCCTGCAGAGCTTCTATCAATCACAGTGATGCTCTGACAGCAGCTGGGAAATATGTCTAGCATGCAACGGGGGCTCCTTTGCACCTTTAGGACTTCTGGAACGTTTATTTCCTTATGTAAGCACTTCTCTGGGTTTTGCTCGGGTCTTTGTCCTTGTTTGTGTCCATTGGGGTCATTGTATCTCACTGAAGTCCTGATGGTGGCATAGCTGTGGGGTACACAGGTGCTCTTCAGCGCTCCCAGTGCATTAAGACCACCAGGGGTGGGGCTTATGAGAACTGGATGACCAAGAATGGGTTAGAGATGGAACTCTAGGGATGAGAGAAGCAAAGATAGAGCCCACAGATATGGAGTCCTCTTGGATGGGACAAGCAGGGACTGAGTCCATAAGGATCTTTCTGTCTACTGGCAGTTTGCTCTGTAACCAAGCCCTAAATAATTCAGGCAGCAGCAGCACTTCAGCTGCAGCCTTCAGAGGCCACTGCTGTGTGTGTGTAAGGGCTGCAACTGCCACAGGCAATTAAATTGGATTATTGCAGGAAGTGGGCTATTAGGGTTTGTTATTTATTTAGAATCAAGCCGCCTTCTTCTATTTTTTTTCTTTCTTTTCTTTCTTTTTTTTTTCCCTCTCCCTGCTGCATGGACCTCGCAAGGGTAAATCATCCTCCAGGCCCTGGATGCCCCGTGAGCATGCACCAATCCCCAACAGCCCCACATCCCATTGTGGATGAGAGGAACGAATGGGTCTCACTGGTCTGAGTGGCAAAAAAGGAAGAGTCTTCTGAGCACCCCAACCCTCCTGCAGGTATGGCCTCTAAGTACAGGGGCAGTTCTACTTCTGTACATATAGAGATGGATGTAACATGTGTATTTGTGTGTCTGCCTGCTTATATATTTGTGCGTGTGTGTATATATATTTATGATTCTATTTATAGACACAAGTATATATAGAGATACGGATGCAGGATTATGCGTGCCACCCTCAAGCATGTGTTGTTCCCCCCTCTCCTCCCGTGATCTTCCTCTTCCTCACAGCTGAAGGTCACCTACGGTGCTTCCTGTGAATCTGACCCCTGGAACCAACCTTCCCCCCCCCCCCGAAGGCCCCGCAGTGGGATTTTCTGGTGCTGGTGGGCACACAGAAGGGTATGGGATGAATGAAGGGGAGGGCTTCTCCAGAGGCTCTGGGAGTGCAGAGGGAGGATAGGGGGTGGGGGAATGGGGGGTGTGTCTGGGGAGACCATTGCCATGGGGTGTGGGGCAGTGATGAAGCAGGAGTAGGGGTAAGAGGTGGGATGGCATTCGGGGCCACTGGGGATGAGGGATGCTGCCGCTGCCCCCCCCTCCCCTCCCGGCTCCGTGTTCAGCCCCGGGGCCCCACAAACGGGAGGGGTCGGCCCCGGCCCCTTCCCCGCAGCTGCTGGCTGTCATCTCCCGGCGAGGCTGCAACCCAATCTCTGCCAGCCCAGCGGCCCTGGGGGGGCCCCGCCGTAACCCGAGGCAGAGCCGCGCCCCGCACCGCCGGGAGCTGCTCGGCCCAGCACAGGTGCGGCCCCCCCGGGCTGCCAGCGGCGGGGGCGGCCCCCTCCCGCCGGTGCCGGGTGGCGGAGCGGGATGCCGAGCCCTCCTCCCGCCCTTCCTCCTCCTCCTTCTCCTCCTCCCGCCGGCGGCATGCGCCCAGCCTTCCTCTTCCTCCTCCTCCTCCTCACCCTGCCCGCTCGCGGCCGGAGGGAGCGGCTGCCCGGCGGGGGACACTCCACGCCTTCCTCCTCCTCGTCCTCCTCTCCCTCTTCCCTGACGGCGGCGGGCCCGGGCCGACGGCGGGGCCGGCTGTACTGCCGGGTGGGCATCGGCTTCCACCTGCAGCTGCACCCCGACGGCCGCGTGGACGGCGCGCACGCCGCCAGCCCGCTCAGTGAGTGCCGGGGCCGGGGCCCCTTCCTGCCCGCGTTTTGGAGGTCGGGGCCGTGGCAGCTGGCCACACGGAAGCAGAAAGGTTTCTCCGGTTGGGAGCTCTCTCTGTCCTAAACCGTCCTCTGAACCGCGGCTCCCGGGGCTGGGGTGGGGACAAACCTGCTTAAGAACAGGTGAGAAATTCGGGGGGGAAACGGGGCTTCCCGAATCTGCGATCTGTCGGCACTGGCCCAAGCCGTGTGTAAGAGCATCCTCCGTCCCCAGCTTGTCCCCCGCGGGCTCGAGGAACCGGCTGGGAAATAAGGAGAGGAATAAACCAAACCCCACAGCCGCAGCGTCATGCCGCTTGCTGGGGACACAGGAGCAGCAGAGCCGCGCAGAGGCGGTTGCTGAGGAGCGGGGCCTTTTGCTGGAGAAATGCAGCCATGAGATTTCTGCTTTATTTTTGTCACGCTGATGCAAAAAGAAATGTGATTTATTCTGAGCTTTCTGTCATCCTAGGCGTTCTGGAAATCTTTGCTGTCTCTCAGGGGATCGTTGGAATCCGAGGAGTTTTCAGCAACAAATTTCTAGCTATGTCAAAGAAAGGAAAACTCCACGCAAGTGTGAGTATTCCCAGTGCGTACAGCACAGTACTGGTGCTGCAACAACTGTGTGCACACTGGTGTTTGGGGCATGTAGATGCCTGCCCTGTGTTGGTGATGCTGCAACATGAGCGTTGGTGATGTGCTGGGGCTACCCAAGCCCACAGGGCCATCGAGTGAGGTTCACACACTCTCAGTGCTGCTCTGCACTGAGTTCTATGGGGGCATGTCTCCTGGGGATGCCCAGAGGGTGAGTGCTTTGCTGTGTCTAAGCAGGGTGGGTCTGGGAGAGATATGATGGCTGTGTGTGGGGGAAATATGGAAAATGGGCAGAGCAGGAGTGGGCGAAACAAAGGCCTTTCAGTGTCTAAGGGAGGGTTATAAGGAGAAAGGGGGTAGACTCTTTAGCAGGATGATAAGACAAGGGGAAATTGTTTCAAACTAAAAGAGAAAAATCTTAAATTGGACGTAAGAAGTTTTTTACAGTATGGGTATTGAGGCCCCCAGAGAGAGAGGTTGCCCAGAAAGGCGTTGGAAGCCCCTGGAGACATTGAAGGTTAGGCTGGAGGGGCTGTGGTTACCTGATGTAGCTGCTGGAGGTCTCTGCTCATTGCAGGGGAGTTGGACTGGATACTCTTTAAGGATCCTTTCCAATTCAAATCATTCTATGTTTCTATGAAAATGCAGCAAGAAACTCAGCCTCAGTCTATGTGTGAAATCCATGTTGCAGGAGCATCCTTGGAGAGAGACATGGTGCCTTCCTCTGACGAAAGCCATCAATTTGTAGAAACTTGACCCAAACGCCTGAGGATGGCCAGGCTGATAACACCGATAATGCAAAGCCTGCATCTGTTATTCCTCCTGGCCTTGGCGGGATAAAGTTATTTCATGGCCCAATGCACAAAGCAAGCTCTGTGCCCGTCACTCACAGCCATGCTTTGATGCGGAGCCGCTGCGGTGCCACGGTGCTGCACTGTGGTACAGCCATGCCCGCAGGCCTGGAGCTGCTCTGAGAGTAGCTCTGTGGGTCTACAGCTTTCCAGGAGCTTTGGTCAGCCCTAAACCCAGTGGCTGGGGTGCCATGTGGCAGGGAGGTGAGCAGGGAGGTGGAGATGCAGCACTACAAGCGCATTTAAAAAAAAAAAAAAAAAAAGAGGGGGGGGCAGGAAAGCACAAGGAAATCAGTGGGATGGTTTGTCTTCCAGGCAGAGACTGAAAGATTCGATTCCAGGTGTTACACAGGGAAAAATCTGCTGGGAAAGTACATTGCAACACAATCCCAGTTCTGGGGAAGGATTTTCCTCCGGACCTTACCTTGCACAGGGAGGTATTAGGAATGGTGGAGGTTTGCTGGGCTCCAGGATGTTCTCCATGCATCCCTCACCAGTTTCAGAGCAGCAGTTTGGGAGAACAAGCACAGTGCTATGGGCAGGGGGTGTGGGTGGGGGCAGCTCCCCAGCTAATTTCTGTCTCTGCTTGCAGGCGCGCTTCACTGCTGAGTGCCAGTTCCATGAGCGCTTCCAGGAGAACAGCTACAACACCTATGCCTCGGCTGTGCACCGTGGGCAGCGCTCTGGCCGCCAGTGGTACGTGGCCCTCAACAAGCGGGGCAAGGCCAAGAGGGGTTGCAGCCCTCGTGCCCGTCCCCAGCATGTCTCCACACACTTCTTGCCCCGCTTCCGGCAGCCCCCTCCATCCCAGCTGGCTTTCACCGTCGCCCGCCCTGAGAAGAAGCCACCACCCCCACCACCGCCGCCGCCCAAGAAGATGGCCACGTCACGGCACAGCCCCGCTCCTGGCCGCTACCGGCTAAAGTTCCGCTTTGGGTAGTGGCTCCTCAGGACACTGAAGGGCTACTGGGTAGGGTGATGCTGGGATGGACGTGGCAAGGACGTCTATTGGCAGAGATGGGACCCACAGTTCAGCTGCTGATGGTATTTTGCTGTGGAACCTCCGTGGGACCGTGACACCTTCCCTCTCCTGTCCGGAGTTGGCTGAGCATTGCGTTGTCACAGTGCTATCGTGACAGTCCTCTGGGCTGAGCAAACCATGGACCTCAGCGCTCCTCACATGTCTTCCATGTGTATTTGTATATATGAGCAACAAGATGTAGGACACACCAGAAGTTCACAAAAAATCTGGACTGTCTGAGGTCATACAGCTTCTCCTAAGTTTTCCTGGATGAGTCCCTCTGAGCCATCTCTCGTTGCATCCTGAGTTTGCCATGCTAACAGAACTCTGGCTGCTGCTGGGTGGACATCTTATGAACTCTATCTGAGAGATGTGATATCTTGTGTTAATTCTTAACATTGACAGATACTGATTTCAGATTGCAGCCTTCCATGTTGGAGAGGAGGCCTGCAGGGCAAACGCAACCCAGCACGGCCGTGACATCCATGAGGTACTCTGTGCTGTCACTGGCTTTAACTTTACAGACACATTATTTTGAGTAGAAGAGCTGCTATCAGAACTAATAGGAACAAAACAATGTCTAAATCATAAGAAGAAATCCCACACCACTGCCTCCATGAATGTGTGAAGTGACATGAATGTGTTTATTTCTACCTAGGAGAACCACTGCTGTTCCTTGTAGGATGTGACTTCCCTCAATAAGTCCTATGTGAGCACAGGAGCTGTGCAGAGCTTTATGTTGCGTTGAACATTAACATCAACTTTGATGCTTACAGAAGCCTTCATAATCCATTAGAGTGCTGGGTGAGAGAAAAACAGTATACAACCAGAAGTGAGCTACAATGTTCACACTGCTCCTGTTTTGGTGTCTTCTAGGTCTGCTCCTGGCATATGGCTGCCCCTGAGACACTTGACCAAGTTGTGACTGAGCATGCTGTTAAAGCTAAGCTTACTTCCTGGGCTTACTGATGTTAAGTTTCAATTAGTAGCATTAAGATAGCACAATTCACAACATTCTTCTGGGTGACACCATTTTGACCAATTTCACAAAATGTTCTCTCAATTTTTTTCACGGTAACTGTTAGGAAAGTGTTACAAATAAATAGAGAATGGATCACGGGAAGGAGTTCTGGGTGATGGGAGCAGCCATTGGCTTTGGAGGCATGTCCAAGGAGAAAACAGACTGGCGTGCTGTGAAACACTGCAACTTACTTAAGGGGAAATCATCAGTAAACTTTTTTCTTTTGGGTAAGGTTCTAAGTTAGTATGAAGATCAAGCAAAGTAACACTGAAGTCATAGTAACTTAAACTGTAGAACTATAGAATCATTTGAGCTGGGAAGGATCCTTAAAGGCTGTCTGTCTCAATTCCCCTGCAATGATTAGGGAACCTACAGTGACATCAGGTGCTCAAAACATCTCCAGCTTGAGTGTCTCCAGGGATGGGGCTTCCAACACCTCTCTGTGTAACCTGTGCTAGTGCCTCACCACCCTCTTCGTAAGTGACAAGATGGGGCTCCTTTGTTGAGCCCAGGTAGATTTCACCAGGCTTTATGAGCTTTTCTTAGGCACCCAGAGTGAGGTACCACTGATGATCAGAAAGTAATATGAGAGGTTTTTTGTTTAAGTATGCAAAACAAAAAACAAAACAAAAAAAGCACCAGATTTCCTCCACGGGGTTCACAGAATTACAGAATTGTAGGGGTTGGAAAGGACCTCTAGAGATCATCGAGACCAACCCCCCTGCCAAAGCAGGTTCCCTAAGGTTCCTAAGCAGGTTATTTTAAATTCTAATGGAAAGGGATGGAAACAGCCTTGGGGAGAAAGTTCCTGTTCTTATTCTGCACGGGAATATTTGTCCTGACTGCTTCCCTTTTGGCTGAGGAGCTCATGGAGTAATGCCCTCTAGCTGCCTGGAGTGTGCTTTGTCTGCAGATCCCAAAGCAGCAGTCACTTTGCTGTGAAGATTCCCAGAGGAAATCCACTCTACTCTTCTGTTGGCTGCAGAAGAGATGTGTTGGCCCTGTGCTGAACCAGAATGGGGAAGAGGATTGAGCTGTGCCTAGTGCTAACGGAGCGTGGATTTGGGGCTGCTGCAGCACCAACTGCTGCTGTATTCAGTGCTGTCCCATCAGCTGCTTGCCACATCCAGTGCTGCTCACTGCTTCCCCCCACGCTGCTTTGCCCAGTGAATGGCTGAAACCTCTTTATATCTGCAAGGTCTGCAGAAAGCAAAGGGAAGAGGAGGAAAAAAAGCCCAAGTTTTTGGAGATGGTGCACTTTGTGCCCTGACATCATGTGTGGACTTGCTGAGAAAGAGCAGGGCTCTGGGTGCCACCACTGGCTGCAGATAACACCAATGTGGAACTTTGGCAATGCCAGAAGGTAACGTTTTTGTTGCTTAAAGGTCTCCTAATTTGATTACAGGCTGTAATGTGTTTGTTTTTAGGGGATGGGACATGGATGTGATGTGTTTTCCTCTCAGAACCTCAGTCCTCCTCATTTCCTTCTGACACCTCATTTACCTCACTTGGGCTGAATCATCCATAGAGATACGAATCCACATTTTAGCTGTCAGTATGATTTGCTATGTTTTCTTTGTGTAGGTCAGAAATCAGCAACTTCATAATTCTTTCAAGCCAATATTATCTTTTGCTGTAGTCTGTTATGCTCTATTTCATTCTCTATATGGTCAAGACTACACTTTTTCTGCAACACTTCAATATGATTCTTGAAGTTTCCCTTCTCCCATTTGATACATATTTCTTCTTTTCTTCAATCCAATCCTAGTGTCCTTGAACATGTCCTGCCTGATGGATACCATACCTCCAGCATGGAGAAAGCAGAGCAGTGCATGTGATGCCTGCAGGTCTGGAAGATGAGACCACTCCAGGATGGCTCTTTCTCAGCCCAGTCAGAAGAGTATTTGTGGATTTTCTTTGGATCAATTGCACTCAGCAACTTTACAGGTGAATCCAAGCTGTGTGGTGCAGTTGACATGCCTGAGGGAGAGAATGCCATCCAGAGAGATATGGACAGGCTCAAGCAGTGAGCCCAGGTGAACCTCATGGGGTTCAATAAAGCTAAGTGCCAGGTATTGCATGTGGGTTGTGGTAACCCTCACTATCAGTGCAAGCTGGAGGATGTAAGGATATAGTACAGCCAAAAAGGACTTGAGGGTACTGGTGGATGGCAAGCTTCTCATGAGCCAGCAACGTGCCCTCACAGCCCAGAAAGCCAACCACATCATGGGCACGAAAGAAGTGTGGTCAGCAGGGAGAGGGAGGTGATCCTGCCCCTCTGCTCTGTGTTGGTGATATTTCACCTGGAGTACTGCATCTGGATGTGGAATTCTCAGGGCAGGAGAGATGTAGACCTGTTAGAGTGTGTCTAGAGGAGGGCCACAAAAATTATCTGAAGGAGAGAACACCTTTCCTATGAGGACATGTTGAGGGAGCTGGGTCTGTTAAGCCTGGAGAAGGCTCTGGGGAGATCTGAGAGTGGCCTTTCAATATCTAAATGGGAGCTATAAGAAAAGACAGACTCTTTAGCAGGGTCTGTTTTGTTAGGACACAGGGAAATGGTTTCAAACTAAAAGAGGAGATATTTAGATTGAATATAAGGAAGAAGTTTTTTACAATATGGGTGATGAGGCACTGGCACAGGCTGCCCAAAGAGATGCTGGTTGCCCCTTGAAGATGTTCAAGGTCAGGCTGGAGGAGCTCTCAGCATCTGATGTAGCTGTAGGCGTCCCTGCTCGTTGCAGAGGAGTTGAACTGATGACCTTTAAGGGTCTCTTCTGACTCAAATGATTCCACAATCTTCACAGCACACTGACTGCTGCTTTGGGGATATGTAGGCAAAATGCACTATTGCTACCTGGAACATATTTGCTTATGGGGAAATCTGTTTATTTTCTTTTGAACCCACTTAAACTTTTATTTTCTTCTAAGATATTTCAAACTAGCAAAAGAAATCACTGAGAGAACAGCCTCACAGATTGGGACTTTAGGTCCTTCTGACAATGAGGTCATAAATGACCATGTGACTGTACAGATTGGATTTAATGGATGTCCCTGTGGTGTCCTCTCCTGGGCTGCCCTGAAACAGAACATCAGATGCCCAGTCAGGAGAGAAAAGGCACATGTATTCACATCTCTTTGCTTGTTCCCGTGGAACACAATGTTAGATAAAGGCAATGGTGACAGTTCCCAATGCCCTCTGCCTCTTGTGTGAGATAGAAAATGCTTTTTTACTTTTCCCAGAGTGCTTCCCACAAAGCAATGAGCACTATGTCAGCCTCCTTCTGTATTGTGGGAGGGGTCGCTGGTTGTTTTCTTCACTCCAAATACCTGTCAGGAATATGTAGAGGAACAGGGCAGTTGTGTTACTTGGAAGTTGGACTTGATAATCCTCATCAGTCCCTTCCAACAGTGGATATTCTGCAGTTCTGAAATGGTAGATGTGTTTGAGATACTAAAATATTTCTACCCAAGAACAAAGTGATATGCTTCAATAGGTGGATCACCCTTCTGAAGCTAAAAACATGTTTTCTAAGGACTCAGACTTCTGGGATTAGTGTTCACAGGACACAGAGCAGGATGGAAAAGGGGTGGTGTGTGAGAAAGGAAAATCCCTTTCTTTTCAGAGCTCTGAGGGCTGAGTCCACTGAGTCACACAGTGTGCAGTTCCTGTCCTGGTGGCAGCAGTATGTCAGCGAGCTGTGGGTCTGTGTTGATGTTTCCCTGAGGTCAGGGAGGCAGGCTGCTGTGGGACTGTCCTAAGGTATAGTAGCTGAGACAAATCACACCACAGTTGATGAGAATTGGCACTTGTGAAGAATCTGAAATGTCTCAGAATGATGGTCTCATTGGGTATAGTTACACAGTGCCCTCTCTTTTATGTAGACCATTTTAGTTCCATTCCCAGAAACCCTTGAGGAGAGAGTGGATGTAGTCTCTAAAACTCTCTGACCAAGGAAGCTCATCCAGTGCATGTGCTAGTTTTTGCTATCTTCCACTTGTTGTGATGTGGACAGTTACAGTGTGGGTTTTCCAAGAAAACTCAGATTGCATAGAGGATTCACTACTAAGCAACACAGCCTCATCGTCTCTTCTGCCTGCTTCCCCCTCTTTTTTCTCCTCTCTTCATCCTCTCAGCCTACAAACTTTTAACACATGTGGCTACTTGCTTTTCTGGTTTCCACATCTGGTTACTTCCTAAAGGGCGGGGAGGGGGGAATAAAACAAAACATGAAGAGAACATTCACCCTCCCCAACGAACTTCTGTTTTTGGTGCTTTGCTATAAGACATTAAATACTACTATAAGAATGCATATTCCCCGATGCCCACTTTATCTTAAAGGTTCCTTTCTCTGTGGTCACAAACTTTTACTGTCACACCTCCTGGTGCTGGAACTGCATTGCTGAACAGCGGTAGAAAATTAGTGTTTCTTGGAAATTAAGTAGATACAGGCACAGACTGGTAAGCTCTGACAATAGCAACAAATCAGCAAGGGCAAGGTCAGCAGATGGTTTAGGGCAGTACTCAAGGGAATCAGAAAGAGAAAGTCATTCTCAGGATGCTCCTCTCCTTGTGATTTTTGCTTAAAGGTCAGGGCTTGCTCAAGAGCTACAGCATTATGCCTTGGCCACAGCAGGAAAAGCATCTTTATTGCAGCTGTGTATTATGATGTACTGCAAAGCGGTCCTGATCAGAAGGAGCAATGGTTTTCCTCAGGTGTTTTAACTGGTAGTACCATTTTCCTCTGAATCTTAACCTCTGCTTTCCAATAGCCTCCTGCTTACCTAAGTGGCTGTATGAGCTGAGGCATGTGCTTAGAGGAACTGGTAGGACTTCTGTTAGAAGTGGTAAAAAGAAGTCACATATTGCAGAAAATGGATTTGGGTTGGCTGGAGGCTGTGGATAGCATTTGTCTTCCGGACTGTTGTGAAGCAATCATACTCTTATTGTCTTTAACATCTCATCTGAAGTTCAAGAGAAAATCGATTGTAAAAGATCTGTTCCAGAAATGAAGATGATTGAGCTGTAGTCTTTTTTTTCTTTTGTGTGTGTGTTGTCACTGGAGATTTTTTTTTCAAGTATTTTTTATTAGTCTATTTCTAGATGCATGCAAATTTCTCAGCAGTTCTTTCTGTTGCCCAGAATGACAGAAATGGGAAAAATCTCGTTACTGAAAAGCTACCTTTAACTTCTCTGACACTGTTGTTAGAGGAGAGCTGTGCTGTTATGTCATAAGACTAGCTGGGAGATGTTCAGGGTGGCAGTGTTACGTTTCCTTTTCGGGGTTCTGGTGCCTTACTCTGTGTGACCACCAGGGGCCTCCCTCCACCTAAGGTTTGCAGCACTGGAGCTCCACAAACGGTGCAGTTGGCGAGGTGCGGGAACAACCAACCGGCAGGCAACAGGAACAGCTTCTGGTTTGAGAGATAATTTAAGGATCCCACATTTATCATAGGAAGCAGAAAATAAAGCAGGAGGGGGAACTTGCTTCATCTCTGCAGATTTTAGGCTTGAGGCAGTTGCAAAGCAGTTCACTTCTGTGCTGTGTGTTTTATGGAGCAGAGTGAGATTAATGTGTCCCTTAGGTTCTTGATGCCTCTGCGCTGCTCTTTCACCTGGAGGGAAAACAATTTTATTTTATTTTGTTTTTTTTCCTGCATGGATCTATGGCTGGTTTTTGGCTGTTTCTGCACTTAATCATAGAACCACAGATTTGTTTGAGTTGCAAGGAATCCTTGAAAGCCACCCAGTTCCAAATCCCCTGCAGTGAGCAGGGCCACCTACAGCTACATCAGGTGCTCAGAGCTACTCCAGCTTGACCTTGAATTCTCCAGGGATGGAGCTTCCAACGCCTCTCAGGGAAATCTGTGCCAGTGCCTCACCACCCTTAGTGTAAAGAACGTCCTTATATCCAATCTGTATTTCCCCTCTTTTAGTTTGAAACACTTTCCCCTTGTTCTGTCAGAACAGACCCCACCGAAGAGTCTGTCCCCTTCTTTCCTATAGCCCCCTTTTAGACACAATGGTAGCATCATTCTTTCCTTGTAGTTTAGTGACTGGCAATAAAGAAAATGCCAAATACTAAAGTAATCATGTGTGCATAACATTCAGTATGACATAAAACAAAATAATTGGTTAGGAGCTTCCATGCATGTGCATTTATTCTAAAAGCTTTTCTTGCATACAGAAAGACAAAAGATGAATCTTCTTAGCCTTCATAATCAGAGTTTTCTCTCTTGTTCTTGCACTAGGACAACTCTGGACCGAATGGAGGCCTCATGGACTTTTCTGCAACTGCTGATAAGAGTCTCAGATATTAAATGCAAACCAATTTCTTGAAGTTCCTTGTTGAAATTAACCATGGAACTTCTTCCAAGGCTTTGCAGAGCCCAGGCCTTGCAAATGTAGTAGAGCTACTTCATCTTTTGTCCCCTGCTAAGCTCCCTCAGAGCAATTACTGAGCTCCAATAGCTATTTTTTCTGTGATCTTATGGAAGAGGTATGGTTAATCATATTTCAATTTGACATGCCTCTGTGCTCTCAGTGCTGGCTGGGACCAGAAGGTGACAGCTTTCATCCTGTAGCTAACCTTCTGCTTTTTGGCTCAGCCAAACTGAGTAAGAACTGGAACACATGTGGTGAAATCCATGGCAAGCGTATCTCAGAGCTTTTCTCTTCTGCCCCTTTTTAATAAGCCCATAATGCAGAGATAACATTGACTGACACCACTGGTATTGGAACAATTTCTGGGAGCTGATTTTTTTGAAGCTTGCATGTGTCAATATTTCAGGAATGGATAAACAGAGCAAACTGAAAAAGCCTTATGAATATTTCATGGTGGCCCTTTTGGTCCAGGAAAACAGATTTTTTTTTTTTTTTTTAATGTCTTTTTACTCTCTCCACAATTCTTCCCCTCCTCCTCCATCTCCTGCTTTTGAGTTTTTTAAATTAGTTCCTTATCGGGAAGGGGATGATGGCCTGTTCCTGACTCTAAACCTAATAGCAGGATGGGGACCAGGTCTTTCTCTTCTTCAATTTCTTATTACTTGTTCTACTGTGGTAACAGCAACATCCTTTTCTAACCATTTAGGATGAAGCAGCATTTCTTGGACTAATGAAGGAAGGAGACAAATGTCAATGCTTTATTGACAGTCCTTGGTTTTGTTTACTTAGCCCTGGATTGAGTGGGACAGGGCAGATATCAATGAATTTTTGGGCATTGCACCAACACAAGTAGACATTTAAATTAGCTCCAGTTGTTCTTTCTGGGCTTTCACCAAACTTTTGATGTCTACATACTCAAATGAAAAATAAACAAAAGTCAATTGAGACTGTAGAGACCATTTCATTGAGCAGTCTCTTTCTACTTCCCCCTGTATGCCTAATGCTATTGAAAATCAGTGTGCCAAGTGGATGCCTTCAGCACACAACTTTGGAATCATTTCCTTTCTTGGGAGTGGGATTAAGAGACATTAAAAAGACTATTGATACATGCTTCTGAAAAAGAAAAGTAGCTGAACATATATCTGACATACATTTTTACTGCTATAGATTAATACCTGAGGGCTGTTTGGTTCTCAGTGCTTGAGAGCCGTCCCCCCCAAGTTGCACACAGTTTCTGGTAGTCCCAAGTGTTCCGTCTTCGATGTCCTTAACACAATCTTAAATGCTTTGTGAAGAGGCCCAGGTGTGTTTGGGTAGCTTTCTATTCCAGGCAGTGAATTTGTTACACTAACAGCAATGTTTTTTCACCTGGCGATGTGTTGCAATAATCAGCGTTCTTTGTTTAAGAATAAATTGAGCCTTTTTTTTTTCCTTTATAAATTGTGGATAGTTTGGGGAAAAGTTTTGGAATAAATAAATGAAATGTGTTTAAGTAGGTGCTGGAAAATATTTCCTTTTCAGAGGGGAAGTTTATTATTTTATGAGTAATCTTCAGGCAAAGGAAACCGGAGTCCAGGAAATGGATTTGCCAATGGATTCCTGCAGTTCATAGCCTGCTGCTTCAGATTTCTTTCAGGCAAGATAGATAGTGGAACAAGCACGAACTCTGGTTAAGATGAGCTAAATATATAGAAAAGATAAATAATTCACAAGTTTGGTATCTGTTTCCTTTCAGGCATAACTTTGCCTAAGGTAGGATGCTCAAATGTCTGCATCTTCTTCCAGCTTCGTCCCACTGAGTGTCACATGAATGTGTATCTTCAAAGAGATGAAATTCAGCCCCTCTGTATCGACTGAAAAACAAAGAAGATTTCCTCCTCTGAAGTATATCAAGGGTTGCAATTTTTGCAGAACCACAATGCAGAGCTAAAATATCCCTCTACAGCAAAGTAAGAGGAGAAACAAGCCCACATTGAGGACTAGACTGAATTTTCTTCCTGGCTGCCTCCAACACAGCAAATAGTGATTTGTGAGAAAGGTACCAAATCCCCAGAAAATTCACTTGCTAACTTCTAAAGGACATGTGCTAATGCTGTCTGCGTGTCCAAGATTCAGCTGTGGTTAAGCCCCTTTTTAAGCAAACACCACGTTTGGCACTAGCATGTGGATTCTTACCTTTAAGCTAGGAACTGACCTTCAACTGAGAAAATAAAGTACTAGGATGAGCTATTAAAAACTTCAACTGAATTTTGCCTCATCATGTTGCTTTCAATTTCCTTGTCACTATTGTCCTTTTTTTTTTTTTTAAATTTTTCCTTTTAATCCAGGTGAGAATTGTGTTTCAAAAATAATTTCTGTGTGGTGATGAGTTAGGTATATGAAAATCCCAAGCAGCTTTCCCAATGAATAGATGAAGTACTGAAAGGAGTTAAGCCTTTGGGATTTAGGATAGAAATCTTTATTCTGTGTAATATATATATATATATATATATATATATATATATATATGAATGTGTGTATGTATATATTTGAAACTGCATCACAAAAGATGAGATTTTTACCTTGTTATTTCAACTGCATCCATAATGATTGCTTCAATAATGGGATCTGCATGCTAAAACTGTATTTTTTGAAAGCTTATGATTCACTTTGAAGCTGGAAACTAATGGGCCAGGAATGCCAGAATTACATCAGGATAGTACATTTGTCAATAGCTGAGTTGAACATTCTTCAGATTGTTAAGGATGGAGTACTGCTCCATAGCAGCTCACAAGTTCTTTGCTCTAAATTGGCTTTAAATAACAATTCCAAACTTGCATGAAAATAGTTAAACAAATAGAACTGATCTGGAAATGGTTGCAACTGTTCCAACTGTACCATAATCTGGAGGTCTCACTTCCAAATGAGAATCATCTTCTTGAGGCTCATCATTTCATCTCAGTAGGTAGGGTTGTAATTTTTTCCTCTATAGGCATCTGTTAATTTGTCTATTTTTCTGCACCAGCTGTCCCTTGACTTATTACTGTCCACTCACAAAACCTCAGTAGATCATTTTATAGCTTTTTAAGGTGTCCGCTCATCCTTAGACTGAACAATTTCCCATCATCTTTAAGTTTTTCTTCTGATTGCTATTTCTGTTTTCCCCAGACTTAGCAGCACACCTCCATGCTGGTGTCCCTTTGTCTAAAAGATGGAAAATGAAATATGAAAGTGGTCAACTTTCATAACATATATCCCAGTAAAGGCCTTTTTTTCTTAACTCTACTACTAATTTTTCTTATAAAGCCTTCAGTGACTGGTTTTGAGAAATCCAAGTAGACCTTGTCCACTACATCATCTCTGTGTGTGCACACTGACCACTTAAGAGCCCTCTCAAGGTTTGTATGGCAGGATTCCTCTTACAGAAGTTGCATTGACCCTTTTCAAATAGATTAGAAAAGAAAGAATTTGTGGCCGAGTAAATGAGTATGTTCCAGCTCTTCACTGAAGATCTTCACCCTCTTTGTGCTATGGCACTTGGCTGTAAATGCTTGCCATTAGTCAACTTCATTGCTGTGTCCACAAGTGCTGATTTTAAAAGAATAAGATTTCTAAAAGCACTTTGTGTGCTTCTCTTTGGCTTGGGTAGATTTTCAAAAATCGGGAAAGTATGTATTAACTTGAAATTTCTTGTGCTTCTCAGCCTGTAGGAGACCTCTCTTTAAATTCTGTTTTTCCTTTTTTATTCCCAGGGAGAGCAGCTTATTAATAGTTGCCTTTGATCACTCGTTATGGAACAGGAGCGTCTGTCTTCAGGCTTATTGCCAAGCATCTTACTAGAGGCAACTTTTCTGATAGCACTCATGGGACTCATCTGTTAAATAATCACCTTAATGAGACGAAGAGAATTTTTAATACAAATGATGTAGGTCTACTGTTTCCATTTTTAGTTCATACTTTTCAGTGCATAGTAGTGTATGAGAGGAAAAGGAACCTAGATGTCTTTGTATTTTCCTGCCTCTGGTCTGTAAGTTCATGGGCCCAGTGGGTTCTGTATCTCCTTTAGTCACAATGCCAGTGGCATTGCTGAGGTGTCACTGAGGATTGCTAAGATGCTGTCAGAGTGCTGGGTACTTGCATGGGAAATATGTTTGATTTCATGAAATGAGTTGAGCTGCTTTTGGTTGTATCTTACAGTGCTCGCAGATCTGGAATTCCTGAATATGTTGGGAGCTTCCTGATGCCCAGCGTGAAAAATATGCTAGAAACAATTGACAAAAGTTACTCAGCAAACAGTATCAAGCCCAATCCCTATGCTCTCCAGAGTTGAAGAGCAGTCAGTAATGAAGTAACCATCATTAACACTGCTTCTATCTTGCCTTAATGAAGAATTGCAAATACTGCATTTTTGTAGAAATGCTTTAAGGGAGGCTCAGAGAACTGCTGATTAGTGACTGTTTGCATTGGAATGCATATAACTGATCACAGAATAAAAACCAAAACAGCTGGAAGATCACTATGAGATGGTTTTGGCAATGAAATAAAAGGGTTTGATTCATCTCTTGCTGCTCTTTAAATGCACTGCATAGAGGGAAAGGTAAGAAGTGGTCTTACAAAAAATACTTAAGCTTTCCAAATGTCTTCAGCAGTAATTGTCCACCGGGTTAGTTAAATAAGTAACTATCTTGGCATGCATCAAAATATCTTATAAAGCTTGAGGTGTAAGAGAGCCTTTCATCTTGGCAGAAGACAAACAGCATGGTCACTCAGTCCTCTGTCCCCACATCCATGTAGAAGCACATGGCTGTGACTGTGCCTCCTTGTTCATATGCTTTGTAGGGAGCCTTCCTTGACTCAGGAGCTGTTGCCCAAGCAGACTGTTATGATTGAACAACTGTTTTATTTTTGCCTTTATCACTGCAGTTATCGAAAAGAAAACTCTTTCAGAGTTATCCACCTGTTGTACGTTTAGGAAAAAGATCACATTTACCAGTTACATGTTAATGGAGGAAGGACAATGTGAGACACAAGGACTACTTGGCCTTTGCAGCTGAAGAGGATACTGCTTCTTTTACGATTTGGCTGCTCTGTATTGAATTCTAGTCTCACAAATGCCACATTACAGCATGGGAAGAGTTTGTAAACTGCTCCAGCTTCCTTTCACAAAGAGTGGAAAGAAACATCCTATAATTATATGATCCATTTAAGAAGAGCACTCCTGCTACCCAGCTGGAATCCACTTAGTCACTCTAACCAGCACTTCCCAGGCTGTTGGTGCTTAATTGCTAACACCCTGTTACAAACAGCCCAGGAATAAAGGAAATATTTTTAAGCTATCTAATGTGTAACATGGCAACACGTGATTAAAATTCAATGCATTATCTCTCTTGGTATTTTATTACTGCAGGTGCACAGCAGCGACTGATCAGTGCAGCACTGTGGGCTACGCTGCAATTAATTGGAGCTATGCTATTCATACACCTGTGCTCACAAAAGATTCTGAGTGTAAATAGAGGGTGCTGAGGAAAAGAAAGAAGGAACTGACTCAGTGCTGATGTAGCTGTAAATAAATCACTTTCTTAGGGGAAATACCACAGAAGGGTACAAACACTTCTTAAGTCAACCTGACTGTCATCCCAGGTCTGCAGATGTTGGAGATGCTTGAAGCATGGTTACAGATAGATCTCAGCATCAGAGAGTGACTCAGCTCTTCCTCATTTTAGTAAGTGGGTTTAGTGAATGAGTTCACAGGCTGCCCAGGGAGGTGGTAGAGTCACCATACCTGAGGGCATTCAAGAACCATGGAGATGTGGCACTGAGGGACTTGGGCAGCGGGCATGGTGGAGATGTGTTGGGATTAGACTTGGTGATCTTAGTGATCTTTTCTAATTTTCCTGATTCTGTGATTCTATTATCTGCAGTTCTTGGAACAGCTTGTTTATCTTCATGACTCAAATGTGCTGATGTGGTGTTCCCACACCTAGGGGAAAGCATGGCAGATTTGGGAAGGGGATGTGAACAACTTGTTGGAAAAGGATGCCTGCAGGAAACACTGTGAGACATTGCTGGCTAATGTGGGAAGGATGGAAGCATTGCGAGTGGCCTTGTGGATCTTTACCCTTTGTTCAGAGTTTCAGAACTTCAGTGTGTTTCTTACCTGATTTTGTGTACCTTTCACAACATTTTACCTGTGTGGTTTTTTTACTTAGAAGGAAATCACAGAGGGTATACCACATCAAAGGTTGGAGTGATTTTAACAGAAATTGGAGAGTTGTCTATTGGGGAATCATATCCGTATGTTGTCAGTGTAAAAGCATGAAGGTGTGGGGTTATTATTTGCAAATAGATTGAAGGATATTTGGTTTTGACTGGTTTCTTTATCATTGTTTAAAATTAATTAATTAAAATACTTCAGAAAAAAAAAAAATAGATCTTATAGGGTTTATTTTTTTTTCTGATTTTCTCTCTGAAACCTGTCCTGGAAGTGATCTCATTGCTTTAGTATTCTTCTCATTACATCATGGAACACAGACTTGCTTGTTTCATTGTCCAAAGAAGCCAGCACATCCAAATCATGTGAATTACAGAAACATTTCAGGCAGCTTTTCCTTGTTTGGTTTGTGTTTATTTGTTTTAAAAAAAAAAAGGAAAAAAAAAAACCAAAAAACCAACAACAAATCCCACAAGACCACAAAGCTTTTATCTGTGAGCTTTATCATTTTTGTTTTTTGTTTGAGCCACAGCATTAAATAATGACGTAAAGCCTCTAAGAAATAGTGTTAAATAGATTTTACCCTGCTTTATTGAGATCTTCAGCTCCTTTTTGGTTTATTTATTGCTGTACTGATATTGTGCCACAAGTACAGCTGACAATTGTCTGTGCATCTGTGTTTTATTCTTAGGCACAACCATACTCAGCTTGGACAGACTTTGCACCCAAAGCCAGGAAGCTGCTTTGAAGCTGCGCTTTATTTTATAGGTATAGTGAGTGATATTCTCTGTTCATGCCAAAATCTCGATGTGTTGTGATTTGATAGCACTGTGATAGGGAAATAGCAGTAGGTGCAAAGTCCTGGAAAGAGTTGCAGAAAGTGGAATGTAAGGGAAGAATAGGAATAAGAATATGTACCAAAGTGAACCGTGATAGGCATCAATGCAGGAATAAATACTTTTTACTGAAACTTTCGTATCTAGCATTTGGAAAGTCTTAGCTATGTCTTCAGTGGATTTCCTTTTGTTGGCCTTTGCTTTTCTATGATAATGTAAATATTTTAAGATAAAGCAGTAAATAATGCTCTTTCCCAGTTTGGTTGTGTAGTGCCTTTTGAAACGCTCATGTATCTTCTCTTCTCTTCTCTTCTCTTCTCTTCTCTTCTCTTCTCTTCTCTTCTCTTCTCTTCTCTTCTCTTCTCTTCTCTTCTCTTCTCTTCTCTTCTCTTCTCTTCTCTTCTCTTCTCTTCTCTTCTCGTTTATTTTTCAAATGACTCTTCCTATTGGTGTCAGTGGCGGGAGCCAATTCTTCACAAGGATTCCTAGGTAGGATGTGTGAAAATTTTGTTTTCTAAATGTATACAAAGCCGAATCACCAGAATCTCTACATTCTCCCCTAAAAATCTTTCCCATGAGGATCATCAGTACATTTATTTACTTTAATCATGTCGTCAGATGAATCACATTTTAAAAGCAAACACTTGCAGTAGATTTCTGTCAAGTTTTTTACACATCTCTTTCAGCGTGGTAACTCAGGCGTTTGTGAGAGTTTGTGGCTTCAGATAAAGTTTGTAGACATGGCTGTGTCCTTGTGCTGCAGATAACTTGTTCTCAGGTGGATCTGTAGAGTTGAGCGCCTAGGAAAGCCTGAGGGGATACTGTGAAATGTTAATACTTCCAAAACCTTTTTGGTACAAAAAGGAGCTCTGCATATATTTCTAAGAACATGATGACAAATTTTGTCATCTCTTCCTACTTTGTACCTAACTACAGATTCTGAACTTCATGTCCTGACAAACTATTAATGGATTTGGTTTGAATTACTTTCCAGGGTATGTCTTGTTAGTGTTTTCCATTGTTTTTCTCCTTTGAGGATGTTGGCTCATTCTGTTTAATAGAAGGAAAGTATTCCTTTTGTAATTTAAAGATTCTAATTTAAATAAGAACATATAAAGAAGAGCTTAATGTCATAAGCAGGGTTGAAAAGAGCTAGCAGATATTATCTTGAAATAACTTTCTTTGAATTTGAACACTGAAAACACCGCTTGGGTACTTGCTTGGTACTTGCAATTTGTTTGAAGGTTGAATAGGAACAGCAATATCAAACTCTCCCATCCCCTCTCCTAACTGGAAAGACAGAAGGAAAGAAACAGATTTTTATTTTCCTAAATGAAATCAAATATTGCACTTGAACTGAGGCAAAATCTTTGGTCCATAGGGGATGCTTGTAAGCTGAAGTGCTTGAAGGACATCATCTCACAGGGTATCTCACTTGTATTCTGCGGTTTGCATTGAAAACTTCATCATTTCCACGTAGTTATTAAGACATAGAGCAGTTCTCTTTTTAAATCAGTTCTTCTACCAGAAGAGCTTTGTGCTCAGACTCAGAATGAAAGATTGGCTTCAAATATGATAACCCACCAGACTAGAGGGCTGTCATTTTATTTCCTGAATACATTCTATTTGTAATTTGAAGTGGAAAAAGGCTTTGTTTTTTCTTAATATCTGAGTTGTTCCTCTGTCAATAGACACAATAATTGTTTGTTCAAAAAGGTTAAAGGAGATCTTCCATGTCGGACTTTGAAACATTTAAGATTAAAACCAACAGGTCTGAGGGCCCATCTACAGAACCTAGGTCCTTCTTATCTGTTCTCAAGAACAGTTTCCATATCCCTACATTGAGGCTACAGAGCTATAAAAGTGAGATACAGAAATGTACTGTCAAAATTAAGAAAGTGGTAGTGGTAAAGACAAAGGTTTGTTGAAATAATGAATATGTGATGCCAAGAACTTTGTTATTTGCCTTTAGTCAGGAGAAAGCCATGCAAAATGGACTTGAACTTATTCAGGGTAACTGAATAACTGGAGTACAAGGATGCTTGGTGATTTCAAAGAAAAAAAGCAATACTGCTTGACAAACTGTATTCATGGAATGAATAGCAAGTTCTGCACAGTTTCTTTCATCTGTCTTCCTAAAGTTCAGTTGTAATGACCCAAGATAAGTTTTGGTCTTTCATGTTTTCAGAATCATGATATTTCCTGAATTCTGACATTGTGTTACCCAACCTTTCTTGATCAACTCTTGAGCAATGGGAAGCTGGAGGTTTTACAAACACGGACTGCAGTGAGCTAAATATCAAATGGCTTCAAAGTTGGAGCTGGCCACTTTACACTCTAATTAATGCATATGGTTTGTTAGTCTTTTCCAGATTCAAATTCTGACCCCACTCAAGTCTTAGCCTCGCATGGAAGACTTGATGAGAAACTGCTCTCATTTACTGAGATGTGAATCATTGTGCTGAAGCCTTGTACTGTGAAGAAGATTTTGTATTGCTTGTGACAATTTGT